CTGGATGAAAGCAAGACACCGAGTCTGGTATGCTGGAGAGTTTTAACAACTGCTTTCCCCTCTACTGAACCAGTAAGCATTAAGTGCAACATTAAAATTCCTACGTTGATTTTCTGCCTTATTCAGCTGGCAGAGAAACAATTCTTCTTCTCCCAGCAAAATGAGAGCCGTAACTCTTTTTACCATGGGTAGTGTCAAGCTGCTAGCAGTTGCCGAAGGCCTACTCTGGTGTGGTGGGGCTTGGAAACATACGGTTCTGGGAGCTGTGGAAATCCAGTACCATGAGGGTACCTCCTCTAGCTATGTATTACTTTCTTCAGTTATCCTTCTCTCTTCCCAGGCACTTCAGGATGCCATTGTTTTGTTTTATTTTAAAATGAACACACTTCCTGTCTACCTGGATATGTTATGGACAGTTTCAAATATATGCAATATTAACAGAGGAGTGCAGTAACTATGCATGTACCATCCCCCACCTTCACAGAAACTATGGCTAATCATGTTTCGTCCAGATTCTCACCTCCATAAATTCTATATTTTAAGTACATTGTAAAAAATTCCATTAAGTGTATATTAAGCCATGAACATTTCAACAGATATCTATACTAGATAATTTTTATTTTATTCATCTAATGATGATTATTTATACATATGACTGTTGCAGATAAAATATAACACAGAATTATCTTCAGTTTATAACAAATGCTTTAAGTGTGGATTAACTAAGTTCAGTGTAGACAGTGTCTTTTAAACACACTTTAATACTTTCAGAGAAAGTCAAATATAAACACCAGTTTTCAAAATTTAATCTCATAATAATATTGCTTCATATAGCTTGAACAAAAAAAAAAAAAAAAAAAAAAAAAAAAAAGGCATCACAGGTTTTCAGGAACACAATCTTCCCCTAAACAAATCTCTGAAGTAAATGTTTTTAAAATCATCACCACACCCAAGGAAGAAATGGCGGGAATTCTATCTCAACATGTGACAGCTTTATGTTTAAATTTCCAGTGGTTTCATAAATATCATTTGCACATTTATTAAACCTCATATTGCAACAACAGTTATTTACTGTGTAGTCTGACGTATTCATTAGTATAGAAGGTTTGATCATGGACATTGCAGTTGTAAGTGGTTACAGAGTGAGCAGTTAGCACCTCTGGCCACGTTCGCTTCGGATCTCTGTCTTTCCTCTTTTCTGGAATGTCGACTTACTGATAAGGTGTGTGTCCAGCTGTCCCTTTCCTTCTAGTTTCTTCTTCAGAGCTAACCAGTGCCCTCACTTCGGTGTATGCCATTTCTACAAGATGTTTTTGCTCTTTTCCCTAGGCATGGATATGCATCCATATCCCATATGTCAATCATATATTTTATTTTATGTTTGTATGTAAACATTGAAGTATTGGCTCCCATAGTTAGGATTCTGTACAATGCATAGCTCCTGTTTGTGTGACCATTTATGTCCAGGCTTGCCTTTTCTCTTCCACGAGTACATTTTTACATGCGTGTGATACACGTTCTTCTAACTTATGAACAAGGCCAGTGCACTTATTTCCTTATTGACGAAGAAATAACATGTTTCCCATGCTTTTCCGTTACATACTATGGCCAGTACATCAGCCTTGTACACATGAATGAGAGTTTAGAGTATAGCACACAGGAGTGGCAGGGTCCTCAGCGTTGCTGGATGTTTGCCTTCTACAGTTATGCAGTGTAGTATACCATTGCCATCAGTGTCTGGTCCTCCGCAGGCCTTAGCATCATTAGGATGCTGTGGTTCTGCCGGCATACATGACAGTGATGAGTCATTTCTTCCATCCACCCTATCTGATCACAAGTGAGCAACAATACTACTTCAGGGCCAGCAGCTTTTCAGGCTCCACCTTCTATGGATTCTTTGTTGGTGGTATTGTTGCTTTTTGTTTGTTTCTTCTGTTTCTTCCCCCCCCCCCCAAACAGGATTTCTTTGGGTAGCTAGGCCTGGCTGTTCCTGAATTACCTCTGTAGACCAGGCTGGCCTCATACAGAGATCCACCTGCCTCTGCCCCTCAAGTGCTGGGATTAAAGGTGTGCAAACCCTGCCTGGCAGTATTGTTGCTTTTTAATTCCTAGGTTCTAGAATTCCAAAAGATCCACTGTAGGAGATTCTTTTTCAAGTAGGCTCATCATATTTTTGTGCTCAAAGAAGCAGTTTTCAAAGAAAATCTTTTTATAGTTACATGTGGTCATTTTAAAGATAAGAACGGATCCTTTCTCCTCTTCTCTGCCTCCTCTTCTTTCTTTTCATTCACTCTCTCAGTCTGTCTATCTGAAATCTTGCTAGCTGTCTCCTTTGTCTTTCTGCCCCAGTATGGACTGGTGCTCTGTCTAGCCCTGTGCTTGTCCTTTTATAACTTATGCTCTTGTGTGGAAACCTGTGTACTCAGCCTGTTTCCTTACCTCTAATAATATTCCTTTAGAGGAGTATGCACAGGCTTGCGTGTATGTGGACATTTGTGTTATATGCATATGTGAGAGTGCATGTGAATGTGTGTGCATGTGAGTATGTGTGCATATGTGCACATGAGTGTGTATGCATGTGAGTGTATGTTGCACATGTGTGTCTTTGTGTATATGCTTGTGTGTATATGTGAATGTGTGCGCATGTGAGAGTATGTGCATGTGAGTATGTTGCATCATATGTGCATGTATGCTTGTGAATGTGTGCATATGAATGCGTGTGCATGTGTGAGTGTAGGTGCATGAGTGTGTGCATGTGTATGTGCATGTGAATATATGTTACATGTGTGTGCATGTGTGAGTGTGTGTACAAGTACGTATGCATATGAGTATATGTGTGTGTGCATGAGTTGCATGTGAATGTGTGTGAGTATGTGTGAGTGTGTGTATGTGAATGTGTGATGTGAGTGTGTGCTCATGTGTGTGTATACATGAGTATGTGCATGTGAATATGTGTGCGTGTGACTGTGTGTGTATGCTGGTAGGGGGAATGTTTGAGGGAGGGATGCATATCCTAAGAAAAGATGTAATGAAAATAAATTTCTATTTTATTTCATTTATTTTTGCCCCTGTGACATTTTTTACAGTTTGCCCAGGATCACAACTCCTTGAATTTGGAAGGGTTTGCTTTTGCACTTTCTGATTCCTGCTGAGAAGTTTGACCTGTTTCGGTCCGGCTTCTTCCTGTGAGATCTGCTTCATCCTGGAGGGTTTAGATCCCTCTCTGTCCTCGCCCATCTCAAGTCATGACATCTGCTGAAATAGCTTCTATGAGTTATTCATTGGGCCCTTTTCCCCCAGAGACGTATTTCCTTCTGTCCTGGGAAGCAATCTTTTCCTTTTCATCTTTTTTCAGCACGATTTCTCTTTACTTACATCATGGCAGCACTCCTTGCTGGAAGCCGGATCTGCTCCAGTTCTCTTTTATTGTTTTTCTTTTTTCTCCTCCTTTTGTATTTTTTTCATATTTCTCAGCTCTTTAATTCTATTATTCCACTGGTTTTTAAAACACTTTTGCACGTGCACGCACGCACACACATCACACAGCATGCGTGTGGAGGTCAGAGGATAGCTTCAGGTGTTGGACCCGCCCTCTACCTTGTTGACACAGGATTTCTCTTGTCTTCACCCCTGTGCACACAAGGCTAGCTGGCCGGAGCATTCGGAGGGAGGTTCTCCTGCCTTTACCTCCTGTGTCTCCCAAGAGCACAAGGCGTGTGCATAGGTGCACTTCTGTGTCCCGCTGTCGCAGGGGTTAGGGATCTGAACTCAGGCTGGCAGGTTTGTGTTGTGTACTCGTTCCTCAGTGAACCAGCTCCCTAGCCCCCACGAACTGTTTTTCAATTCAGCTATCATTATTTTAATTTCTGAGAAATAGTCCTCAGTTTTCTTGCAGTCACTGTTTGATAAGCTCTAGTTCTATAATTGGAATGCCTCTTCAGTCTGTTTTTGAGGATGGTTTCTGGAAATTTTCCTCAGCTTTCCATGCCACGCTGGGTTTACTTTAGGCACCTTCGGTGAAAGTTCGCATGATTGCTGCCATTTTGGATTGTGGCTATTGAACTGATTGAGAAATGTGTGCAAAGTTTGTAGAACTGTGTCTGGCATGGATAAGAACTCAATATTTTATGTTGATTTTGTTATTCAATGGTTTTCCACGAGCCTGGCTATTTTCATTCATATATCACCTTGAAATCCCTTAAACAAATAAACAGAGGGTTGAACCTTTTCCAGTTAAAATAATGACAAATATAAAAAGTTAGTTTTGTAAGAAAACTGAGAAGGTTTTCAGTTAAAGAATTTTTTTGTCCTTGCATCTGTTTTGATTGGTTTTGAGAAGCAGCCCAAGTTTTATCCTAGGAAAACAGAGGTCCTACTGAAGTTTGTAAACTGCTGAAGTTTGATATATATCATTGTAAGTTGAAGAAAATTCCAGTTGTTCTTCATACTAACTTTCTGCACTTTCTGTTTTCTGAATTTTTTTTTTTTTTTTTTTGATAGCTCAGGGTTGCTAATACTTTGCAGCCTATTTTATGTGTGTGACAACCTGTAATTTGAATGGTTAAGGGGGTCTGTGCTCTGCTGGTGAACATTACCCTTTGTGTTGCCGTGGGGGCTGAGGTTGCTGTGACCTCAGATTATCTAAGTTCACATGAGTGGATGGAGGGTCTAGCCAGGTATTGCAAAGGTGTATGCTGACAAGTGTGGGTCACATCCCCACCTACTCCCTGCCTTTTCTTTTCTTACACTGATTCTGCTATTTCCTCCTTGTCTCCTAGTCCCTCCTATCTTCCTTTCCTATTGGCCAACAGTGCTTTATTATTAACCAGTATGAGAAACATATATACATAATGACATCTCCCATCAGACCAGACTGTGTTTCTATTCTTAAATTGTTTTTCCTGATTTATACTGTTTTATTTGCTTTTAAATGATCCACTCCTTGTTCTTAGAGCCCCTGTCATCAGTACCATGGACTCTTTGAACTGTTTTCAGGTCCAAATGTTTTTTCTTAAATGTATCAATACTCATACTGATGAACAGTGAGTTCCCGATTGCAAATGCTACTTTATTCTTGTGTCTGTCTTTATGTCCCTGTCCACTAGTTCAACACAAAGCCACACACAAATGCTCCTGACTTAGAGTCATAACCTTTTAGTTTTTAAGGACACATACAACGTAATGAGCTTTATTGTGGCATATTCATATCTATGTCATCATACTTGGCTCTATTCTTCTCTCCTCCCAACTCCTCAAAAGGCCCCCCCTAACTCTTGTTAATCTTCTCCCTGATAAAATCAAGAATTGCAAGTTGCTATTTTTCTGGTGAGTCTGATCATTCATTTGACAATATATTGTCATCTATTCTTCATATAATAGGAGATTTACTTTGATATTGTCAGTCTAGATGAACTACTTTTATTTCCTGTGTCTTAAGTGTGTTAGTTTCAAATGAACTTAACCACAAAAGAGCAAAGAATAGAAATCCAAACTCCAAAAGACTCTTACCAAATTCATTGCTAAGGATGAAAAGACCAGGGATATCAAAGGGATGCTTTCAGAATTAGAGTTCACCTAAAAGATGTAATTGGATTTCTAGGCAAGAACAAAGACCACTTTGGAATCAGTATCAGTTTTTATAGGGAAATACAAATGCAAATTAACCTTATTCATTTTATGGGCAATTTTGTATATCTTTCTAAAGTACGTGGAAACCCATCCATATACTTGCCAATGACTTGTCATCTTGTTACACTAAAATTCATGTAAACATGCTTGTATCCAGGCGAGGCTCCTAATTCACCACCACTGTGTCCCGTTCATATTAGACATAATATATAGAAGCCACACTGTTGGAACAACACAGAACCTTTTATAATATTATGATCCAAATAGTCAAAGGCTATTGGCTTTTTAAAGTAGTCATGGCAATTTTCAAACATACACAAAAGCCATTTGATGAATTCCATCTACCCACAGCCAGTTTTAACTGTTAACAACCCACTGCCAATCTTGGGTCTATTCCCTTTTCTCTCTCACATTGAGTTATCTTAAACAAATCCAGGACAGCCTATCATTGCCTTGGAAAAATATTTCATTATCGTTTTCTGAAAGAACCCTGTTTTTCATCTTTATAATGTCATTATTGCACCTAAAACAATACTAACAATTGTTGCTTAAAGTCATGCTGTCAGTGTGTGATTGACTATGATTGCCTTATAAATGCCCTTGATAATTGTTTTGTGAAAACAGAGTTTAAATAATAGCCTGCAGTTGGCATATTCCTTAAGACTATTTTACTGTAAAGCTCTTGCCTGTCTTTTTTTAAATGCACATTTTAAACATCCAATTTCTTTGTTAAAAGGGCCAGTTTGAATTTTTCTGGGAAAAATATTCCCCCTTCCTGATTTTGCTGATTGAATCCCCATGGCCCCATTTTACGTATTCTGCAGCTGTAGTTCCTGTAGCCAGGCATAGACTTTTGATGAAATACAGGCTTCTCTCCTACATGAAAGCAATCCATGGATGGAGCTGTGCATTTCCTTCACATCCCATCATGGGACACGGAGTGTCTGCTGTGTTCTTGATGTGGAGTTTGAACCCAGGGTCTAGCTGCCAGCATCATCTTGCTAGTCACTGAGCCCAGGTCCAGCCGCCAGCATCATCTAGCTAGTCATTGAGCCCAGGTCCAGCTGCCAGCATCATCTCTCTAGCCTTTCTAGAGTTTCCCAGTAGCGTTTCTCTCCACAGTTTTAGCAGCTGCTAATGGGTTTGGCCTTGCTCCACTGTGGCTCTGGGCTTCTGGATTTAGAAGACTTTATCTACTTCCACCCTTCCACCCTGGATGTTTGTTTTCTTGCATAGTCTATAATGGATTTAGAATTCTCTAGTGCCCTGACCTGCATTTATTTCATGGAACAAAATCCTATTGGAGACACCATGAGAAGAGGCTCCCTGAGCTGGGAAACACTAGCCTGGTACTAATGATCCTCTGAGGTATTTGTGTGTGACATGTGGTGGCAGGTGAGTCCATCCCAATCCTAAGAACCCTGTCGGTCCTTGTGCTTGACTAAACCTGGTGTTTTATCAACCACTGTTTTCTTCCTGTCATGAAAACCGAATGGTGTTTTATGTCGAGACACATACTTTGAGAGGCTTCTCAAGAGTATAGTGAGGAATAATCCTTGTGGGACTTGACAGAGTCAAGGTCATGGCCACTAATTGGTGATAACCTTCTTTGGAGAAAAACAAATGTAAGAGCAAATTCAGGTTCTGCCAGTAGATTGCCATGCTTTGCTGTGCCAGGCCTTTTGTGAAGTTTCATCTACACGGTACTGGTTTCTTCCACCCTTTGTTGCCATTTGGCATTGAGTACATCTCCAGTGTCCACCATTTCAAGTATATTAAATACTGTCAAAGTCCAGTTGTCTGTCACAGTGTTAAGAATAGTTGTCACACAATTTACTTTATAATTTGGACATGCACATGCTACACACATCCTCTTTCTCTCATTACTTTATTTCAGGTGCAGTATTGTCACATAAGGAATAGAAAAAAAAAAGGTCACAACAGTAATTTAGAATTTGTTTGTTTCAGCTATCAACTCTAGATTGCTTTTCATATCAGAGGCTCACAGCCTGTTTTGTGGCTCGCTGTGGAAAATCGAATTGAGCAAAATTAGGGACAGAGACCAATTTTCCTTTGCTCTGAAGATACCTCCAGTTCTGTACAATAAATGTTTTCCATTAGGGGGAAAATGTTGTGCATTAATGCTCCTGAGAAAAAATAATGATTGCCAGTAATGCCATCAGGAAATGATTTTTTAAATGTTTCAGAGTGTAAGCAGGAATCAGTGACTAAATGGGAATACAAATTAGTTTGCAGAATTGGAACATTAATGATAAAATCATTTCTTGGAGAAGAAGTTATTCTAGGAGAGTCTGAGTTTTGAGTTTGGGGACATGCACAAGGGACATAGTATTATAAGACATACAAGTCAGAAAGCTTGATTAAAATAACAAGAGCTGAGCCAAGGCTCAGAAGACATGGAGTTCTGTTCTGTGGGAGAAGACATGAGAAGGTTGAACGATGCGTCATCAGCGACTCCAACAGTAGACTAAACACTGTGCAATCCCAGGCTTCTGGGTCCTGGTATACTGCTGGGTTCAGTTCAGACCTTGGCACTGATGCCTATGATGAAAGTTATAGTGTTTTTAATAGTAAACAAAACTATTGCTTCAAAATGGTTATGATTTCAAGTGCCTTTCCCTCCAGGATGTGGCAGCACATACTTGTTATGCCAGCATTTGGGGAATAGACGAAATAGGCCATGAGTTCAAGGCCAGCCTGGACTACATAGTGAGACTCTATCTGAAACACACGTGCCCAGACATAGACAGACTCTCTCTCTCTCTCTCTCTCTCTCTCTCTCTCTCTCTCTCTCTCTCTCACACACACACACACACACACACACACACACACACACACACAAGTATGTGAATAAATAAAATGTTTGTATATTCAAGAATTTCAGGAAAAGGCAAAGAATGTATTAACTAAATGTTTTCAAATTCAGAGCCTTTTCTATTTGTCAGAACCCTACTCTTTATGGCAAGTGACTCCTCCTACTTTTGCTGGTCACAAGAGCAGAGGTCAAGTGTAGATGGTAACTGTGGATGTTTGTTAGTCAGCTTCCCTGCTCTGTTCAAACGTGTGTTATTGAGAAAACTGAAGACAGAGGAATGGGAAAATGGAGACCACTGCATAAACATTCATTTAAGTGCAGCTTCGAGTGATGGATTTGACTGTGTTATGCGCTCCTTTATATCTTTTACCTCTATAACTTTGTTTGTGAAATCACTGAACCCGATCCTTTGTGACTTGCCCAAGGAGACATTCCACCTCATTGTGTATATCTGATTTATTTCACAGCTCATGGGTCACGTTATTCATCTTAAATATAATACAGTTATGTCTTCTAAACCGTTTATAGGCTGATCATGATAACAGCTAATGATCAAGCTGTTTCAGATTAATAATTGTCATGGAATGCTAAGCGTCTCCAATGTTTGTTAGAAATTCCAGTATTAGGGAACAGAAGGAAATATGAGAACAATAAAGGTCAGTGTCAGCAGGCAGGTTGTCACTGAGGGCTGAAACCCAGATTTAGGGGACATTTTGGGGTGTGAGTGCTCCATGCATGCTTGTCCCTTAAAAACGAGGTTTTTTTTTTTTTTTGTGCTGCATGTCTACAAGAAGAAGCAGTACAGGCAAATTGTGAGCAGCTCTAACTTTCAAAGCCGTGTTAGGAGGCTGGCCTGGACCCACAGCAGCCCTCGTAATGTGACTATGGAGATTTTTTTGTTTTAAGTTAAATTTTCAGTGTGTGACAAGTAGCTTAGTTGTGTAGCAGAAAAGGCCCAGAAAGAACCAAGTTTCTACTTTTCCATTTGCTTCAGCCAGACTTTCGGTTTTCAAATGTGTTTCAGCTTATTTGTCCCTATTTTAGGCTTAATAATCTGCACTCTGTTCTGTTTCCAGAGATGTGGTGAGGTTCAAATTATTTATGTCAAAGGGATTGCATTGCAGTTTGAAATTGTGTCTCATTAGAATAGTCCCTGCCTTTCAGTTCACCCGATTATGATTCCATTAATATTTCTTGCTCATTAGACATAAGGAAGATTTATTTTTCTCTTTATCAGTTATCAGGCCTTTTGATCTCAAATAAAATTGGATAATTCATTTTAACTCTATAAAAATTCTGCTTTCTGAATCAGCAAGTTTCCATTTGAAAAAATGTGCTTTCATTTTTAGGTTCTATGTGAGGACCAAGTTCTTTGTGGGTTAAATAAAAGGGGGGAGTGTAGAAAAGGTGACCAGCTTTCAGAAATACACAATTGCTCTTCGAGACTTCTCTTAGGGTAGAAATGGAGTAATAAAATCAGAAATCATAGAATGGCTTCTATTTCAAAGTCAGACTGCCTGACCTTGCCTGCATAGTTCAGGTAGAAATGAAGACTGGATAGGGAGAAGGAAATTGAGTTCCCCTTCGGGTGATCCATGACCACACGGCATCCATCTCAGACTGCAGTGCAGGTCAGACACTTAAGGGCTGAAGGTCCTGGTAGAAATA